GTCTAACCAAAGCAGAATAGAGGGGTAGCATCGTGTCAGAAGCGAATTGAGAATAGAGTTATAATATATAGGAAAACCACAAACAAAATTAAAAACTTGGCATTCTATTAAATGTCCTTTGAGCAGTAGCTGGCCACTTGGAATGCCTCTAGTGTGGCTGTGAGAAGGTCCCCCATTGTGCATGTGGCAGGGCTCAGACTGCATTGTAGTAGGCAGTCTGTGGTTTGCTCTTCTCCACACTCACATGTCGTGGATTCCACTTTGTGGCCTCATTTCTTCAGGTTGGCTCTGCATCTCATGATGCCAGAGCGCAGTCTGTTCAGCACCTTCCAAGTTGCCCAGTTTTCTGTGTGCCCAGGGGAGAGTCTCTCATTTGGTATCAGCCACTGATTGAGCTTCTGGGTTTGAGCCTGCCACTTTTGGACTCTTGCTTTGCTGAGGTGTTCCTGCAAGTATCTCTGTCGATCTTAGGAAGCTGTTCCTTGATATTATTAAACTGGCATGCTAGCTGATTTCCAACCAGAGGATGGGCTGGAGATGTCACTGCCTTGCTCCTTTCATTGCTGGCTGCTACTTTCCAGCAGCGATCACGTGGTGCAATATCGGCTAAACAGTATAATTCTTCCTGCAGAGTAAGGCATAGACATCCTGTAATAATGCAGCATGTCTCATGAAGAGCCACATCCACTGTTTTAGTGTGCATACTCAGCAGCAGAGTAGTGTTGGCGTGCTGCCTGATACCCAAACAGGGGATGGGCCAGAGATGCCACTGCCTTGGTCCTTTCACTATTGGCTGCTCCTTCCCGGCGGATGCCAGGTGGTGCAATACCGGCTAAACAGTGTAGTTTCTCCAGTGGTGTAAGGCACAGACAATCCGTGATAATGCAGCATGTCTCATTAAGAGTCACATCCACTGTTTTAGTGTGGTGAGATGTGTTCCACACTAGGCATGCGTACTCAGCAGCAGAGTAGCAAAGCAGAAGGGCAGATGTCTTCACTGTGTCTGGTTGTAATCCCCAGGTTTTGCCAGTCAGCTTTCGTATGATATTTCTAGCACCCACTTTTTGCTTGATGTTCAGGCAGTGCTTCTTGTAGGTCAGAGCACAGTCCAGAGTGACCCCCAGGTATTTGGGTGCGCTGCAATGCTCCAGTGGGATTCCTTCCCAGGTAATAATCCTCAGAGCTCGGGATGCTTGTCTGTTCTTAAGATGAAAAGCACACATCTGCGTTTTAGATGGATTACGAATCAGTTGGTTTTCCCTGTAATTAGGCAATAAGAGCACCTAAAGCTTCAGAAAACTTCTGTTCAACCCTTTCAAAGCTCCTTCTTGGGTGGTGATGGCACATCGTCGGCGTAGATGAAACTCTCTGTCCCTTCTGGCAGTGGCTGGTCATCTGTGTAAATGTTAAACAGTGATGGAACAAGCACGCTCCAATAATAATAATAATAATAATAATAATAATAATAATAATAATAATAATAATAATATAGCTGGGATGAAAATATAGTTGTTGGCATCCTGACCTATACAGTTTTGATCCCAAATATTAATTTCCTAAGTAGTTTGAATAAGTATCTTTGATACTTATTCAAGTATCCCCACTTGTCTTTCTTGAATTTAAACAGCTAAACTATTAATAAAAGGGCATAGAAGAGTTCTGCTGCATCTCTGAGACTCATTGAGGAAAAAGGGATTCCTAGCATGAGCTTTCCTGGACTAAATCTGGAAGTTGGTGCTAGAAATCTCTTTTTTCTCAGCTAGTCCTTTGACTCTTCTTAATGCTTCCACGGGCTAATAAGGCCGTGCCCTTGAACAGCATGGCTGGTGTTTTTCGGTGCAGCACTTGACATTAAATGCATGGGAAGTGAAGTATGAAATTAATTAAAAATTGCACTTAATTAAAAACATAACGAAGTCTAGGCCAGTGTTCTACATCACCTTCTTAGTGAAGCGCACCTCATTCAGGGTGCGGCATTTACACTGGAGAATTAAGGCACTTTGACTCTACTTTAACTGCTCTGGCTCAGACTGGATCCACATTGTTATATAATGCAGTTTGAATCTGCATTTCTATGGCAAATATTGATCCAGCCTCGATGCTGCAGAATCCAAGGAGTTGTAGTTCCACAAGGTCTTTCGCATTTCTCTGCTAAAGACCTTTGGTGTTTTGCTAAACTGCAATTCCTATGATCCCAAATAGCATTGAGCCCAGATGCATGTTTAGGGTGCGTCTACACTATAGTAGAATGTAGATTTTGGCGCTACTTTAACAGCTCTAGCTCCATGCTATGGGATCCTGGGAGTTGTAGATTGGTGGTGCACCTTTGACAGAAGTCTGAAGACCTTGCAAAACTACAACTTCCAAGCTCTAGCTCAGTGCTATGGGATTCTGGGAGTTGTAGGTTGGTGGTGCACCATTGACAGAGAAATCTGAAGACCTTGTGAAACCACAACTTCCAAGATCCCATAACGTGGAGCTTTAGCACTTGAATTGCATTTATTCTAACAGTATGGACCCTGTATTGTCGAAGGCTTTCATGGCTGGAATCACTGGGTCGCCTGCATCTATAGCAAGCATCCTCAGAGGTAGTGAGGTCTGTTGGAACTAGGAAAAAGGGGTTATATATCTGTGGAATGACCAGGGTGGGATAAAGGACTCTTGTCTGCTGGAGCTAGGTGTGAATGTTTCAACTGACCACCTTGATTAGCATTTGATGGCTTGGAAGTGCCTGGGGGGAATCTTTTGTTGAGAGTGAGCACTGCCAAGCCATCTAATGCTAATCAAGGTGGTCAGTTGAAACATTCACACCTAGCTCCAGCAGACAAGAGTCCTTTATCCCACCCTGGTCATTCCACAGATATATAAACCCTCTTTTTTCCTAGCAAGAAAACACCTATTTGCAAGAACAGGTCTGTGTTTGTGTCTGTGTGGGTAATGCACAAAAGCTTACTGTGCAGCCTTGCAAATCCCCATTGCTTTTTGCAGCTCGCTTTTAGGGCAGTGTCCACCCAGAGGAGTCCTTTACCTATATGTGCTGCCAACAGATAGTTCCAACATATACATTTAGGGGGGGATATGGCAAGAGATCGCTCCAAACTCTCCCTGCATGAAGTCCATCCTTTTCTTTGGCCATCTTCCTGTCTTCTCCAAAGGCTTCTTGCTCGTCCTTCTTGTGGTGTGCGCACTCCCTCCTGTGGCAAGAGGGGATATTTCTTGCCCAAAGCAGGTGGAGGCAACGGAGGGTGGATTCAAGGAGGCAAGAATAGGCAGGAGTGGGCCTCTGGGCAACAGAAGGTGGCCTGTGGTCCAGAGCATGGAGGCAGGGGCCCTTCAAGAGGGCCTGACCTTTTGGAAAGAAAGGATGGCAGCTCTAGTCAAGGTTGGAAATATCAAGAAAATCTTGCAGGTAATGCGCACAGTTCTGCCAGAAATGCCAGAGGATTTCCCCTTCCTTCTTCCTTGCCCTCCTTCCTTCTTTCCTCCCACCTTTTCTTTCTCCCCTCCCATCTTATAGTTTTCCTTACATTCCACATTGCCCTCCTTCTCTCCTTCTTCCCTCCCACTCATTCTTTCTTCCCTTCTTTTATTCTTCCTCCCTTCCCCCCTCTTTCCTTCATTGCTCTCCTCCTTCCCTCCTTCTTTGCTCCCACCTTTGCTTCCTTCCTTCCCTTCCTTATTCTTTTGTTCTTCCTTCCTTCCTCCCTTCTCCTCTCTTTCCTTCATTGCTCTCCTCCTTCCCTCCTTCTTTCCTCCCATCTTCTCTTCCTTCCGTCCCTCCCTTCTTCTTTTATTCTTCCTTCCTCCCTTCCTTCTCCATCCCTCCCTTTCTTTCATTGCCCTCCTTCTTTCCTCCCTTTTCTTCCTTCCCTTCTTTTATTGTTCCTTTTGTTCCCTCTTTCTTTCATTGCTCTCCTTCCTTCCCTCCTTCTTTTCTTCCTTCCTTCCTTCCCTCCCTTCTTTTATTCTTCCTCCCGTCTCCTCCTCCCTTTCCTCTTTTTCCTTCCTTTCCTCCCTTCTTCTTTCATTCTTCCTTCCTTCTCCTCTTTCCTTCCTTGCCTTCCTGCCTGCCTTCCTTCCTTCCTCCCTCCCTTCTTTCTCCTCCCCAGAATCCCTCCATCCAAGGCCTTCCTGGACCTCTCCCTGCTTGTGATGCAATGAAACAGGCCAAGGCGTATGTATGGAGGCACATCTCTCCTTCCTTTGCTTCCTCTCTGCTTTCATTCCTTTGGCGAGCTACTTTCCCTTCTCCCTCCCTTTTAGTAGGAAGCCATCTCACTCTGGCTGGGTTCTTTGTCCACTTTTGAGACCCGCTGCCCTCTTTCTCTGTGTGTTATGTGCCTGGTGCCGCATTCATGTTGCACATTTTATCAGAGCCTTCTTGGCCTGCATCGGGGTGGAAGGCTCATGATGGAAGGCAAGGGATCTGCATTTGCTCCTTGGGAGCCAGAGAGAGCTGGAAGGGCTGCATTCCTCACCACACCTGTTCCCTCTATTGATCGATTGATCAGTCTATCTATTATTCCCTTTGGGGAACATAACTGCATGGAACCATGGGTTCCAACTGCAGGGGAAGTGATTCCACCCAAACATGAGGAAGAACTTCCTGATGGTAGAAGTTTATTTGACATGGGAATCTGCTTCTTCCTGGAAGTCCAGTGACCTCTGCTTCTGGAGGCTGGATGGCCATTTGTTGGGAGGGCTTGGATTGTGTCTCCCTTATCGGCAGAAGGGGTGGGACTGGGTGGCCTTTGGGGGTATCAACTCTAATGTAGGGCACTTGTCCTCTGAAGGTTTTGAAGCAGAGGCTGGATGGCCACCTGTTGGGAGTGCTTTGAATGTGTTTCCCTGAATGGCAGAAAGAAGGGGATCAGTCTGGATGGTCCTTGTGGTCCCTTTCTTTGTGATGAGTCCTTGATTCCATGGTTCTTTGCATGCACTGTTTCCATGTTCCTTGTGCATGCTTTGCTTTCTGACCCAGATTCCCTTCTTTTCTGCAGCGGAGACCCCGATCGAGGAGTTCACCCCAACGCCTGCCTTCCCGGCGCTGCAGTACCTGGAATCCGTGGACGTGGAGGGCGTGGCGTGGAGGGCGGGGCTGCGCACCGGAGACTTCCTGATCGAGGTGAGCATCCCCTCCCCCCATCTCTCTCTGGGGGAACCTTGCTTCAAGCTGAACCTGAGCCAAGAGTATGATGGATTCTTGGCTGCATCCAAAGCAGTCTCATGTCCAGATGGAGGGAAGTCCTGGTGCCGCTCTATTCGCCTTTGGTTAGACCTCTTTCCCTGGAATAATAACCCTGTGTCCACTTCTGGTCAAAGCAATTTAAGGGGGATATTGACTCTTAAGCTTGTTGTTGTTCATTCATTCAGTCAGTCGTTTCCGACTCTTCGTGACCTCATGGACCAGCCCACGCCAGAGCTCCCTGTCGGCCGACATCACCCCCAGCTCCTTCAAGGCCAAGCCAGTCACTTCAAGAAGACCATCCTTCCATCTTACCCTTGGTCGGCCCCTCTTCCTTTTTCCTTCCTTTTCCCCTAGCATCATTGTCTTCTCTAAGCTTTCCTGTCTTCTCATGATGTGGCCAAAGGACTTCATCTTGGCCTCTACTATCCTTTCCTCCAATGAGTAGTTGGGCTTTATTTCATGTAGGATGGACTGGTTGGATCTTCTGGTGGTTCAAGGCACTCTCAGAACTTTCCTCCAACACCACAGTTCAAAAGCATCTCTCTTCCTTCGCTCAGCCTTCCCTAAGGTCCAGCTCTCACATCCGTAAGTGACTGTGGGGAGTACCATGGCTTTAACTATGCGGATCTTCGTTGCCAGTATGATGGCAACTCTATGATTCTATGTCTCTACTCTTCACTCTTTTTTCGAGATTGGACCTTGCTCTCCTCCCCTATAGTTGAGGACTCTTAAACTAAAAGACACCAAATTGGGAGGGAGAGCAAATACTCCAGAGGACAGGATCAGAATTCAGAATGACCTCAACAGATGAGAGAGCTGATGGGCCAAAACAAACAGAAGGTGTTTCAAGAAGGGGAAATGTAAGATATGACACTTGGGCAGAAAACAATGAAATGCAAAGAGACACGATGGGTGACACCTTGCTCCACAACTGTCTCTGTGGAGAACAAGCTGAACATGAGCCAAGAGTGTGATGCAGCAGCTCAAAAAGCCAGTGAGATTTTGGGCTGCATCCAAAGGAGTCGAGTTCCAGAAGGAAGAAGTCCTGGTGCCTCTCTCTTCTGCTTTCCCTGGAATCACACTGTGTCCAATTCTGGGCAAAGCAATTCAAAAGGGATATTGACTCTAAACTGGAAAGGGGTCCAGAGGAAGAGGGAGACTCAAAGGATCAAAGACCTGGAGACCATGAATAATCCCTCTGAGGAGCGTCTTAAAGAACTGGGTCTGTTTAGCCTCCAGAAGAGAAGGTTCAGAGGAGAGAAGCCATGTGGAAATATGTGAAAGGATGCCATAAGGAAGAGGGAGCAGGCTTCCTTTCTCTGCCCTGGAGACTAGAACTCAATGGAGCCATGGGTTCAAATCACAGGAGAGGAAATTCTCCCAGAACATGAGGAAAACCTTCCTGTGAGAAGAGCTATTCAGCGGTGGGACTCTCTCTCTGCCTCAGAGTGTAGTTGAGGCCCCTTCTTGGGAGGCTTTTAAACAGGCTGGATGGCCATCTGTCAGGGGTGCTCTGATTATGCTTTTTCTTCCTCATAGAAGGACGTTGGACTAGATATAGATTTGTGAAAGTTGAGGTCTGCCTGTATTGGCAGCACCATAGTTGCAAACGAGAGGTTCTGTAGGTTTGTTCTCATGCTGAATTTGTATTGTCGAAGTCTGTCATGGCCGCAAACACTGGGTTGTTGTAGGTTTTTCGGGTTATGTAGCCATGTTCTAGAAGCATTCTCTCCTGACATTTCACCTGCATCTATGGCAGGCATCCTCAGAGGTTGTGAGACCCCCTTTGAGGATGCCTGCCATAGATGCAGGTGAAACGTCAGGAGAGAATGCTTCTAGAACATGGCTATATAGCCCAAAAAACCTACAACTCAAGTTGAATTTGTATGAATTTGCATTTTTTAAGGGAAAAAGTAAAGATTTCCCCTTTACATTGTCTAGTTGTGCTCGACTTATAAGAGTGGTGCTCATCTCCATTTCTAAGCCAAAGAGCCATAGACGCCTCGAAGGTCATGTGGCCAACATGACTGTTACCTTCCCACAGAAGCGGTACCTATTGATCTACTCCCATTTGCATGTTCTCAAACTGCTAGGTTGGCAGAAGCTGGGGCTGACAGTGGGAGCTCACCCCCTCCCAGGATTCAATATGTCAGCTGTCACCACCCCCAGCTCCTTCAAGGTCAATCCAGTCACTTCAAGGATCCCATCCATCCCCCTTGCCCTTGGTCGGCCCCTCTTCCTTTTTCCTTCCATTTTCCCCAGCATCATTGTCTTCTCTAAGCTTTCCTTTCTTCTCATGATTTAGTGGCCAAAGGACTTCAACTTTGCCTCTCGTCTCCTTCCCTCCAGTGAGCAGCCGGGCTTTCTTTCCTGGAGGATGGACTGGTTGGATCTTCTCGCAGTCCAAGGCACTCTCAGCACTTTCCTCCAGTCCCACAGTTCAAAAGCGCCTCTCTTCCTTCGCTCAGCCTTCCTTCTGGTCACATCCGTAGGTGACTACAGGGAATACCATTGCTTTAACTATGCGGATCTTCGTTGCCAGTGGGATATCTCTACTCTTCACTGTTTTATCAAGATTGGACATTGCTCTCGATAAAATAGTGTAACTCCAGCCAAATATATATATTGGCATTGAATAGCATAAAAGGTAAAGGTAGTCCCCTGACATTAAGTCCAGTCATGTCTGACTCTGTGGTGTGGTGCTCATCTCCATTTCTAAGCCGAAGAGCCAGCGTTGTCCGTGGTCATGTGGCCGGCACGACTGCATGGAGCGCCGTTACCTTCCCGCCGGAGCGGTACCTATTGATCTACTCACATTTGCATGTTTTCAAACTGCTAGGTTGGCAGAAGCTAGGGCTGACAGCGGAAGCTCACGCCGCTCCCCGGAATCGAACCTGCGACCTTTCGATCAACAAGCTCAGCAGATCAGTGCTTTAACCCACTGCGCCACCGGGGGCTATGAATAGCATAGGGAAGGGTAAACAAAAGTTTATGTTTAGGTTTCAGCTGCTCCCAGACCTTGAGTTGTATTTGCAAAGGCTTCAGAGATCTTGCTGTTTTATTTATTGGGTTTATTTTTTTCCCAAGGAAGGCTTTGCTTTGGACGGCTGGGTGTTAATTTGTTTCTTTCAATGTTTTATTGCCCACGTGTATGTTTGTGCGCTTCTGGGAAGGTCAAGCATCAATATTTAACCAGCGGCAGCAGCATCCCTCGCAGGAGGACAAGAGCGCTTCTCCCTCCATCTTTGCAAAACCAAAGGCACCCCGAGCCTGACGGAAGCCTGTATTTCCCTTGTTGCAAAGATCACGTTAAACCCCAGGAGATATGGGCTTTGTTTTTAATTGGTTGGGTTCTGTAGCACTGATCCCCGGCACTTCAAGTGGGGTAAAACTGCATTCATTCTCCAGTATAGATGCACCGTTAGGTTCAGTTCTTCGCACTTTCACAATAATAATAATAATATAATATACTTTATTTTCCACACTATCTCCCCGAGGAGATATACAGCAAACATTCAATGCTGATTATACAGTTAACAAGGACAGACAATACCTAAACACAGGTAAAAGCTTACCCATCTTTTTCCATCTCCGGCATCTGGAGGCTGTGCTTGATTCTAGCCACAGGGAGGTGCTGTCACATCATCTTCCATGCAGAGGAGCTTTTGTTGTCGCTCTGCCAATCAAATCACCGGCATGTCCAAATGGGCGCCTTTTATCACCTCTCCGCCAAAGTGGTACCTATTTACTCACATTACTGTTTTCGAGCTGCTAGGTGAGCAGAAGCTGGGCTGATGGTTGGGAGCTCACCCCAACCCGGCCTTGAACTGTTGACTTTTTGATCGGAAAGATTTTCTGCAGCTGGTGGTTTAACCCACTGTGCTAAAGACCGGCCCCACAATTCTCAATTAACATGATCAGCTAAAGGTGCATAGACTGTAAGCCAAGGGAACTGGAAAGTGACTTGTTTGGAACTGAAGATGCAAAGATCATCAATAAAGAAGCCATGAACACTGAGCAACTTGCAGCATTGGTTGTGTCATCAAATATATGGCAAGCTTCTAATCTTGCTTGACTCTTCATTTTCTTGCTTTCTCTGGCGCCGTCCTGATGGTGAGCTTTCCATATAATAAGCTATTATTATTATTATTTGAAACACAACAAGATGAGTCCACAGCAGACACTCTACTGGCTGTTATATTGGCTCACACGTTGAACACTTCCCAAGTGTCTAGGACTGTGTGATGTATCGGCGAATAATGCGTGCAGATCCCAGTAAGGTGGCCTTTTGCAGCTGACAGATGGTAATCCCTATGACTTCCTCTCACGTATTTATACATGGCTATCATGTCTCCTCTCAATCTTCTCTTCTTCAGGCTAAACATGCCCAGCTCTTTAAGCCGCTCCTCATAGGGCTTGTTCTCTTGAAGAGAGGGGAAAGAGATTTTGGGGAGAAAGAGGGAATGGTCCTCCCTGAAGCACAGGCTTTGTATGCTCCCACTTACAAAAATCACAGAATCATAGAATCAACAAGCCCTGGAGACAGCAACAAAAAAGCCCACGATATGGTTTAGATATGTGGATGACACTTTCACCATTTGGAGCCATGGAGAAGAAGAACTCAACAGGTTCCTGGACCGTCTCAACAGCATCCACCCAAACATCCAGTTCACCATGGAAAAAGAAAATGAAGGAAGGTGGCCTTTTCGAGATGTTCTAGTCATCCGCAAACCAGATCAACAATTGGGTCACACCGTCTACAGAAAACCCACACACACAGATAGATATCTACATCAAAACTCCAACCATCACCCAAGTCAAAAAAGAAGCCCCATTAAAGCCTTGGCAGACCGTGCAAAAAGAATCTGCGCAGCCCACCTCCTCCAAGATGAACTGAACCCCCTCAACTGGGCTCTCCAGGCCAAGGGAGACTCCAC